TAGCAGTAGTAGTAGTAGTAGTCTTCTAATAGTCTAATAGTCAGGCGCAGAGTGTTGTGATGCTGGTCGTCGTACCAATACTTTTTAGTAGTATGAGCATGATCCTATCATGGCCAGGCCAATTCTGGCCATCCTGGTGCGCCCATGGGCCAGGCACCCATCGGCAGCCTGGCCTTTGACGATATGGTTTTGTTGCTTTCGATCCTGGAGGGAGGCGAGGGTGAGACTTGTTGCAATGAATGCTTGAGGCACGGCAGCATGATTTCGAGATGCACAATGCATTGCGTCTCTCAAATACGAGTGCTTTTATTTTGACTTATGTTGCACCATGATTCCTGTTGCTAGCTGCTTTTTTAGCAGCAGTAGCTATCACGTCATTACTGCGATGCTAGCTTGACGAGGTATGCCCTATCGAGGAACTGTGGATGTAATGGTGCGACTGTTTTACAGTCACGTTTGCTGTTATCTCGCTCCTTGCAACTGCGACCTCTTGATGTTGCTGCTCTCCCGCATGGTACCTCTGCTGCAAGTTGTCAAAAGCGCTTATAGCCGAAACGCCGAAGCTGAGGCTATCTGCTCTTTGCGGAGGAGATGGCCTACAACCCCAAGGTCAGCTTTGGAAAATGAACAATGTGTTCTGCATTCCCAAAGAGGGCTCTGTTCATCCGTGTGAGCGACGACATTGAGAACTCTAGATGCGGTCTTCTGACTCCATCGTAGTCTCCGATCCGAGCAGACCCAACGCTTCATTATGAGCCCGGAACTTGTGACCATAAAGCAACACATGTAATTAGCACGTGCCCCCATGCTCTCGGCACCTCCACCCACCCAACCCCAAACTCTCAATTCTGGCATCTTGGAATTCTCCCCCCCCCNNCCCCCCCCCCCCCCAAACAAAGACAATCCGTTCAGGGTCATACTTAGAGCCTTGTAGTTGTTTGCGTCCTGGTTCCGACCGGGCTCCTCTCCGCTTCTCAGGATCCGACCTGGGTCAACCGTGACCGCTTCGTGCTTTCCTCCGGCCATGGCTGCATGCTGCAGTACCTCGGCCTTCTGAGAGTTTTGCAAGACATGGGAAAGAAACGGTTCGGTCATACCACCCAGTCCCCAGAGCGAACCACAAACCAGAAAATACGAATTGGCAGTGGTGTGCTCAAAGACTCTGGGAAGAAGCAGAGCCGATTCGGGAATTTAAGCTGATGTTGTACCGCGGCAGAGCACGCTGCCGAGCAAACTTGAGCATTCGTAAGCAGCAGGGAAGAATTTATAAATACTCACCCGTCCCTCTTGGTCACATCTGCGAAAGCCGGACCTGTAAAAGTTGACCAGTTCGAGCTCTCTACGAACGGATTTTCACACAAGGCAATCACTCCAAAGTTTGATGCAGTCTCGGCTTCAGATCCGCAAATCTGAAGACCTGCATGCCTTGGTCAGGTACTCCCTGCTGCACCTTGCCGGCTACGATAGCGTGGCCATGGATGACCTGAAGCAGTTCAGGCTCCTGCTCAGCTGAAGCGATTGCATCTCACTCTCTCGGGATCAGACGGGGTGGACCATGTAATCCGTGACACCGAAAGAACGAAAACCCTACTGCAGATTGTTGTGTCAACGTAAACGACTACTCTTTTATATGTCCCCAAACCGCAACCTCAGATTCAGCTGGTCTTCTCAATGCTCTGCTGTGGCCTTCTCATGCGTCGATAAATCTGAGGGTCGAGGCCACAGGCATGCACCTTGTAACTAGCTTCCCTGAACCCAACTGACCTAAACTCCCAAAGTATTTTGTCTCGGTCTAGACTCCCAAGCCAGGCAGTGGGGTTCCAAGACACCTGGCCATCCAGAGAATTTCGAGACTCAGGCTGTTTTCAGTGTTTAGGTCTTTGTCGTCCACGGTCGAAAAATTTGGAGGTTGGGTGTAGAACTATGGCTAGCTATGGGTTGGCTGCAGGACAGCTCCTCCAGAAGCGAACTCGGTCAAAGCGATTGGCATAGCAGCATCCACAACCGCATAAGAGATCCCTGAAGTCTCATCCCTGCCGAAGGCCAAGCTTCGTAGTGGTGCCTAGTCCCATGAAGCCACGAGCCTTCGGTACAATCGCATCAATAAGGAGACGGCCGGAATCGAGGTCACCACCGGGCCTCTGGGCAGCCCGACGCATCAAATCTTTGAACAAGGGCAAGGGTTTGGGTCTTCAGGGCGTGTCGGCCAAGCCCTGACGATGGTCCAAACTGTCTAAAACCTAAACAACGAAGCTGCAGTGGATTGTCCCAAACCTACAGGCAAATCCGACCAGCATAGATTCAGTAAGCAGTGAACTGCCATTGATTTGGGTCCATCACGCACCCCAGGCTTTGGTGCGATAGCTTGGACCTGACATGTTGAGTCTACAGTGATTCCCAAAGCGACTACGGCACAGCCGGCTGACCTTCCCCACCCACTGCGCAAAGGTTCAGGTTGCCGGTTTACGGCTTTGAGCTGTGGAGGGATCCAGGAGATTTTTAGATTCTTGGGGTCGTCGGATTCAGATTCAGGGTCGTGGGATTTAGGACCACTGCTAAACACCAAGCCTCCAAACTTCACCCAATCCGCTGCCCTGCCTGCCCTGGCCACGAGGCATGGGAATCTCCAATGCCGTTGGCTTGGCAGCCGCTGAGGCACACATGGCGGCAACCTACAACAAGCCCCCTGGCAAAAACTTCAACATTGCCAGTTACAGGGCTCGAGGTAGGCAAAGGGCTCAGCATGTTTTGGTGCCCCAATCCGTTTTTGATCGTGAAGTGTCTATCGGTTCGGTGTTAGAATGCATTGGTGCCCCTTGACCCTCAAGCTACACGGCTTCACCACCCCAGGTCTTTCGAAGGCACTGGAAAAAGCCATCTGTTGCGATGTAACCCAGGCCGGATTTCACGCTGATCGACCACTACACCTACACCATTGCAGGAGATGGATGCATGCAGGAGAGATGGGGAAAAACGTTTCATCCGCTGAGTAGACAAGGCTTGGATCAAACTTCCGTGTAGTGAAGTGGAACTCATGTTGGTTGCAGTGAGGGCATCTGGCTAAAAGTCCGAACTAATTTGAAGGGGCGCGGAAGTCAGGGGCGGCAGGCGCCAAGGTTGGACACCGAGCCTGTTGCACATGTCGGACGACAAGTTCTTGAAAAATCCGTCGTGGGGCTGAACGTGCACATGGCACTACGTTCCTCGTGATTCTTGGTTTCGAGGCTTAATTGGGAACGTAGGACGTTCGTGAGAGTGAGCTTGCTGCATCGTCCACCCTTCCCATGTTGCGCAGGAGGGTATCTCGCACGAGGCTTGCGCTTACGCCGGGCACCTGGGGCTTGGAAAGCTCATCGCCTTCTACGCCCCTCGATGTGCAAAGCTTGAGTTTCTCGTATTTCAGACAAGGTCTTGACATTGGCAGCAGTCTGCAGCACTAGAGTCTATTGGAAGCGCCAGGTGCGCGCTTAGGTGTTCCTCAAGTTTTTAACTGCCGGTGGAAGTATTCATGATAGCAATAGCAGCGGCAGGTGGTACCAGTAGTACTGGCAGCAACAAAAAAGGCAGCAGGAGTAGAAGTAAGAGTAGTAGCAGAGTAGTAGTAGTGTTGTAGTAGAAGTAGTAGTAGTAG